GCTGGGAGGACAGGAGGGAGGAGCTGGAGGACAGGAGGGAGGGGCTGGAGGAACAGGGAGGGAGGGGCTGGAAGAACAGGGAGGGAGGGGCTGGAGGACAGGAGGGAGGGGCTGGAGGACAGGAAGGAGGGGCTGGAGGACAGGAGGGAGGAGCTGGAGGACAGGAGGGAGGGGCTGGGAGGACAGGAGGGAGGGGCTGGAGGAACAGGGAGGGAGGGGCTGGAGGACAGGAAGGAGAGGGTGGAAAGCCTGAAGGGCTTAAGGGTAGCAGGTCTTTCCCCACACTCAGTACAAAACACGGAGGGTGTCATTGGGGTAAAAAAAAAAAAATCAGAAACATTCCACCTGACTGAAAAAGAAAAAGACCGTACCTCATTCATTGGTGGCAATGCAGACCACGTATTTAAATCTGGATCATACTTCTCTCCCGAGCTCAGTGTCTGCTTATTTTCATCTTGGCCCCCGAACACAAACAAAAATCCTTCTGCAGAAATCAAAGCAAATACAAAGTCTTAAGGACAATGTCCGACACCTACATCCTGTGGACTATGACCGCCATCGCTTCTAGAGGGAGCAGCTGAGGAGACCCTTTTCTGCAGTGACTCTCGCCTGTGGACCGGGCCCTTCTCACATCTCATTCCGCTGTGGTCCAGGGGCTGAGACGTCAGGGTCACCACAACTGTGATTCCCTCCTGCAGGCTGGCACCAGGGCCCTCCAGGCTGCTTCCCTGTCTCTGCACCCTCCTGTTTCCCACAGCTGTGCACTCGGGACCCCAGAACACCAGGATCTGGGTGTCTGAGCCACAGCCCACGACTGTCCATTTAGGACCCTATGACTGTTGGATCTGGACCACCTAGTGAACTCTATATTCAAAGCAGGAGTGGAGAGTAACTGACACACTTCCTAGTTTGGGTAACGGTGGACTGGGTTGATGTGCACACACTCTTCTTCTGCATCACACACCCAAATTACTGGACAAAATAAACCCTCCACACCAACTTCGTATAAGAGAAGACAGACCAAAGTGAAGAGGGGTGGGATAGGCATCTCTTGGTTAAAACTCAAGCAAACCAGCTTTGCTATGAAGGCTCTGACCAATCTGGGAAATGTTAACCTTCCCTGTAATAAATGGAAGAGCAATGGTACTCAAGGGATGGTACAGAGACAGACAGGTGAACCCCAGGCCCAAAGACAGTGGGGCGCTGGCAGGGGAGCCCTCCAGGTGAAGGATGGCAGAATTAGTGCCAAGACAAAGCTCCCTGCTTGCTGGGGACTCCGCAGCTTTGGATTTGACTTGAAGCCTTGCATCAGTGATGTTTTCAGGCAACTGGCAGAAACAAATGCAAAATTTTGTGGTAAAAAATACCTTCACCCAAGGCTCTGCATGAAAGAAGTCCTTCAAGGGGGAGCTCTGGTGGCCTAGTGGCAAGGAGCTGCAACTACAATCCTAGAGGCGCACGGTTCGAATCCACCAGATGCTCTGCCGGGAAAGGAGGGACAATCTCCTCCTGTACCAGTCAGATCTGATTTGACGGTACACTCACACAAAAATAAAAAAAAAAAAAAAAGAAAAGAAGTCCTTCAAATATATTTGATGAGACGACCAGCACCCAGCCAAAGAAAATCAGGCATAAAAGGTTGTTACATGCTATTAACAAGAACAAGCAGAAGATAACAATGGAAAATAGTATTGCAAAGATTTTAAATACTGAAATAATTAGAGTATAATATCATGATGAATCTGTTTAAAATACAAAGGCAATTATGAAGATAACTAGGAAAACAGGGTCTTTAGAAGTGACAGCTGAGAAAAGTGAAGTGGGAAGATGCATCCTGTTGGGTCCACACCACTCCACGCAGCTCAGGAACAACTAACCTCAGTAATGCTGGGACCTCGAAAATGACGGCAACTCTACACGACAGTTGTGGCTGTCCCTAAGGGATGTTAATGTTCTGAAAGTTTTACAGGTAACGTCAGTGGGCACGCAGAGAAGAGAAATAAGAGGAATCCCAGGAGGACTGCTGGAGATAATTAAGGTCAATTAACATGATCCTTGTGGGGTCAATCCACAAGGGCAGATCTCAGAGGAATGGAAAGCCAGCAAACAGTAGTACAGGAACAATTGCTGTATCTTCTGTCACCTCCTGTGTCAGAGCCTTGGACACCATGGAGCAGCTTTTGAACTTGTAAACGTCAAGTAAGACATACTGTTCATAGTGAAATCACTGTCACGGTGGCTGTCATGCGTCCCGACTCAATGCATCCCCAGGAGCAGCAGAGCAGAACTGTGCCCCACAGGACCGAGCAGGCTGAATTTCAGAAGGTCATCGGGCCCTTTTTCTCACGGCCTCGGGTGGGTGCAAGCGGCCAACTTGTGAGCTGGCACCTACATGGGGCACCAGTCAGGCCACCACGGGGCAAAAGCAGGTTAGCTTGCGGTAACCAATCGATGGAACATTTTCCAGAGTCTCCCATGAAACACCTGCTTACACATCACACTTTATCTTTGATATGATTTATACCAGAATTTTAAACTGCATAAATTTCAAAGATGAAATAATCATGGCACAAAGAAATTCTGTGTTTCTTTCAGGGTCCCATAGCTGGGTAGAATGACCAAATTTTTTTTTTTTAACCTCAAACAAATGCTCCACTATTGAATTCTTAAGAACAGAGATGTACTGAAGATTTCAGAACAAGGACGGACAGAAGACAGTGTTGGAATCACTGAGTGTCTCACCACATACAGACAGTGTCTCAGGGCGCTAAGAAGCCCCGGGGCATGCTGCACGAGCCTGGAAAGACACGTCCCTCCAGTGCATTCACATACCTGCCGACAGCACGCCGTGGTTAATCCTCGGCACGCTCAGAGGGGCCAGTTCAATCCAGAGCTGCCGATTCGGGTCGTAGAGAGGGCACATACAGCGCATGGCTGCGGTTGGTTTCCGTGAACTGAGGGAATAAGATACCGATATGCAGTTAGTGTGGTTTGCATAGTAACTGATACTACTTTACTGCAAGTAAAAACATGGCTAAGCCTTCATGGATGCTTCAGAGACCTAAGAATTGTAGGGACGGCAGGCAGTTTGTGCTCAGGGCCATCGACTTGGCTCCCAGTGACGCCAGGTCCAGCAGAGTGCCGCTGCCCGATCCTGTGACATCCTCACACATCTGTGGAGCTGCAGCCACCGCGTCAATCATTCTCGATGGGCTTTCTCTCTCTCTCTGACCCTCTCCCAAGCATCTCTCCATCCCCCGTGTGAGAGATGAAGTCTCACCATGCCTGCTTCTAAGGAGTTACACAGTAACGCCCCGTCTTAGACCAAGCAGCTCGCACCCCCACCCCCACACTCACACTCTCTCCTCTCCACCGACCGTCACGATGCACTCCGAGTAACCCCGCGGTTTGAAGTTGGCGAGCATGGCCTCTCCCTGCTGGGGCTGGCTCAGAGGTATGTTGCTGCACTCTTTGACGATTTCTCGGACCAAGGGTTCATTCAGCATCTGCTCCCGTAAATAGCTGGAGTCTAACCCTGACACCCAGAGTGCAGACATCACCTCCTTCATGTGGACCTGCAGGGTTGGGGGAGAGGATGGGGAGGACGGGCGGGAGGACAGTGAGGACAGATTAGGGCCCACATTCTCGGCTTGTGGACAATGAAACCTGTGACAGCCACACGGCCCGCAGGCTGGTTCTGAGCACCAGGACGTCTGGAGCACGCTCTCCCAGTCTTTTCTCTTTTCATTGTGTACAACTTTCATAAAACAAACTCCTAATATTTAAAAATCACCAGGGTGGATTTTGTGTAAAACACTGCAAAGGTGCAAGCAGACCTCTTTGCATCCTCCAGGGTTCCCATGGCCATTGGGCAGCAGAGCAAACTCTCTGGCCATCCACTCTGTCTCCCACATGGGCATGCACGATGGAGATGACACTTCAACACACAAAATACACACAGTCATAGCTGGAAAGGATATGGCAGACCCAGACAGTGAAACTGGCTCAGCATTCATTCTAGGAAAAAACCCCACAGAAAATCCAAAGTAAAAAACGTGCCAGGTCCGACATAGCCAATTGTACAGAAGTCACTGTTCAATTCTACAGTGCAGCCAGAGTGCTCCTGAGAGACAGAGACGGTGGAATTCCACCTCACACACTCTGGGCATGGTGTCAGGAGGGGCAAGTCCTTGAAGAAAGGTGGGGAGTCAGAGACAGAGGGGAAGACCCTCAAAGAGAAGGACTGACAGCCACTGGACACCAATGGCTGTTATGAGTGGTAACTGACTTACTGCCGTGGGCTTGGTTTGGTTCTTACATGTAAATGTTCACCAAGGTGTGTTAAGTGGGTGCTGGTGAAAGGACATGGAAATTAAAAAGAACCCATCTATGGGAAGATGTTTCACTGATACCTTTTACATCACAATCTTCTGAGCCAAGATGAAGCAAAAAGAAAAGAATACAATTTAAACTAAAATAAAACAGAACTGGAAAAGTGAAGGCATCTCTTTTAGCTATAAGTACCTTTCTTATTTCTGTATCGTGTGCTATCCATCGAATCACTGCTTCAAACACGTATTTTTCATTGCCAACGTTTAACTTCTCAAGAGAAATCACTTCTTTGAGCTTTTGCGGACTCAGTTCCAGGAACTCCTCGGTGCTGCTGACGTCGCGGAAGTGCGTTTCAAGGTACTCCGTGGCAAGGTAGTGCACATGGTGCAGGCAGTAGTGCAGAGCGAAGTCCCGGATGCCGATGCAGTTCTCGGCAGCAATGCAGCCCTCCAGAAACTCACAGCACAGAGTCTTAAGGTCCGTGAGCAGGAGCAGGTCTGCCGCCTGGACAACATCCTGGATTGTATCTTCATTCAGCCTGATCTGCAAGAGTACCAGAAACGGTCCATGTTTGAGTTTATCTAATTTCAAAGCCAAGCCAGCAGTCTTCTGGCTGAACCCCAAGAAGTTTCCATGTCAGTGGTCACAGGTGGTGGGGGAGAGGCAAGTTTATACGGTGCCATCTGCTGTTTCAAGACAAGTCCTGAAGGGTCAAAGCGCCTGGGTGACAAGCGGTGTGGACCTGGCCAGCTTCCTAACTGCACTAGAGCTAATGCGATCCAGTACTGCTGGCCCTCGGATGGGGACGAGGCTACCACGCTCACCTCTAAGAAAAAGGTCAGTAACTGAAACGCTGGGAAATGGAAAGCCCTGTGTTCTACGATAGTTGAAAGAACTTTCGAAAAACACTTGTACCAAAACTGTTGAGAGTCTTGCCTCCAAAGATACTTAGTCCCTCCTCCTTCCTTGTTGAGAGAACAGTACAGCAACCTGAACTGGGTGTGTGTGTATGTGTTGTGTGTGTGTGTGTGTGTGTACACACACACACGTGCATGAGGTCTCCACGGCCTCAGAGCCTCATGCAGAACACTAGAACATGGCACCTGGTGCAACAGACACAGGTTAGCCTCTGAATACTTTCTGGAATAAATCTGTACATCCAGACAACTCCCTCCATGATGAACTTTCCCCGTTTCTCAATTTTGTTCCATTTTCTGATTGATGGTTCTTTTCCCACCACTGGATGAGTTTTCCATGTGTCAGAAAGGCAGTGTGGAAGACATATGGGCTACGAAATATTCAATCCCACAGCCAAGAGTTCAGACTCTCCCAAGGTGAGCAGGTGGGGTACCTCACCTACATTCAGAAATGGAAGGGAAAGACTTCCTAGTACAGTACAGCAAGGAACGTTTTTACCGCATTTTCACATCGAAGAAAACTGCTTGTCACCTTAGAAATGGAACAACAAAACTGTTGAAAGAAGTAAACGAGTAAGCCACATGGAACGGGAAGATTCCCACGTACGTGACATTATGTAAAAGGGTAAACAGCTGTCCAGATGTCAGCATGTGGAAAACTTAAAACTGCTTCTCTCTAAACTCAAATTATCAAATCAAGAGTGTGCTGTAACTTATGATGCAGCTGTGGTTTTAAAGATGAATTAGGAACAAAACGATAAATCTCAATTTGTAAATAGGGTTCAGCTACTCTTACTGGCTTGTAGCTTGTGCTGAGGGACGGCTGCTTGATTCTGCAGTCAGACAAGAGGGTGGTCTGAAGTCTGACTGTGTGATGCCAGAGCATCTCCCCTTGGTTTAAGGGAGTCTTAAAGTTAATTTAAATTCACTTCCTCTAACAACCACACACAAGTATATACCCTCACATCAATACACTCACCACTCAGCAGTGAGGGAGAGGAGAAAGCTCCATGAAGTGAAAAAGCCAAACCAGAACCACCCAAAAAGGTTGCCATGCAGCAAGTGTGACTGCACGGAGGGAGAGTGCTCAGAGGAACAAGCAACACACTTGGAAGAGTTACACAACCTGTCAAAGAAACAGCTCTTACAAAAAGATAAAGACAAAGTCAGCACACTGTCGATGAGCTCAAGGAGAGTCAGGACCACAGAAAGAACAAGCATCAAACACGGCCAACACCCAAATGCCGCCCACTAACCCGTCCTTCCCTGAGCCACACCCACACTTCTGACAAATCCTCCCTCTACACTTGAAAACACGTAACTTGGGGGGAGGACGGAAGGTGGAGGGCAAAGGAAAAACAAGACACCTGATCAGTCCTGACCATCCTCCAAGGGTTTCATTAACTCCCCTGAACAAAGTAGGAAGGGCAATCGGGAAGAGGGGGTAGGGAGGAGATGGTACTGCTGAGGTAACCAGGCCAGGGGATCACGGTGTAACAGGGGCCCTGAAATCGGTGTGAACCTGCTCCCTGGGAACAAGCCACAGGAAAATCCCAAAGCCCATGGTGGTACCGACTTCCATGACGTGACGACAAAATTAATTCCCCAACAGGGTAGGTAGAGAGCAAGACCGATCCAAGATGGAAAAACAAAGACATCGGGGAAAGGGACATTCTTGATCCTTCAGATCTCATGCTGGAAGGCAGCTCTCAGAAAGACCCAGCAAAAATTGTGACTGGGTGGTAAGGCTTTCTGCGGCTGGCTTCTCCTTGCACTGAGTCCCAGAGGGGCACCTTTGGGCTGCTGCACCTGTCCAGGACACCAGTCAAGCACAGGATGACGGAGGATGGAGAGGACAGGACCGGTGCGCTTTTGTTGAAGGAGGGATGCCTGGAGACCCTGACCCTGAGTTTGAAAAGCCTCTGCTCATGCCTCCCGCCCCTGTGTTCTCACCATACCTGCCCACTGAAGATGTAATCCAGGATCTCTCTCATAACCATTACTGATATCCCTTCAAGTTCAATTTTGTAAGTTGATCCATCATCTTTTGGAGGATTATAGTTTAACTTTGTCCTAAGAAAGGGAAAAAAAATGTGAAATTTCTATTAAGAACAGAAATTGTTAGATATTTATGCACTTAATACTCTAAAGCATACTTAGCAGTAGAAGGATCCTTACCTAGAAAGCATCATTTTTAAATTTTTAGATCAATATTTTTTCTAACATTCAACTATAAAACACATACTACAGTTTGCTTAGAATGTCAGACTATAACTGCTGAAAAACAAAACACAGGAGATGATTTTAAAAGTGTAAGCTCCACGGAAGCATAGCTACCTCCATCCCATCTTGGAAATTCCGCCCCAGTCAGGCCTGTGCTCCCTGTTCTGGGATTATCTAACGATTTTTAGTAATGTTATCACAGATCCCACAACAGGCTAGGAGCTTGAAAAGAACCTGCCTCTGACCAAATGGTTTTCTCTCCCACCCCATGCCTCTGCTACTCACATCTGAGGTAACAATTACCCTAAATCCTGTCTTCAGTTTCTCTTACTGTCTTTGTCATTAGCATATCATTAGTATATCCTATAAAATACACATGTAAGTGGTTGTTTTGCTCATGTTGGTTTGTCCTCCCTCTTTAAAAACCATCTTAAGCCGCACACAGTCTTTGGGGGCTACCTTTTTGCCTTTGGCATTTTGCTGAGTGTCATTCCACTGGCTCTCTATTTTTCCTGCTGTGTGATATTCCACTTTGCTGTTGATGGGCCTCTGGGGTTGGTTCCAGGCCTCTGAGACTGTGACTTCTACCGCTATATTTGTGCATATGCCTTTTTTCATACTATGCAAAGGAATTCCTTTTGGGGATATTGCTGAGGTGGAATTACTCCATGTCAGGAATCTTCCCATTTAGCATTTAATGATGTTGTTTTGCAAGGAAGACTAATTTACAGTCTTATCTGCAATCGTAAGAGTACCCGTAGATCCACAAACTCCACACATCTGTTGTTAAACGTTAACTCTTGTCTATCAAATACGGCACCTCAAAGGGTGGGGATCAGACTCTTTATATATGTTTGTGGACACATGTATTGCCTTTGAAACATCTGTGGAGCTCAGGTCTCGTCACTTTTAAAACTGAGTTAGTTCACTGTCCTCCTCTTATTGAAGTGCAGAAATTCCTATTAAAATGAATTCTTAGGCAGCCTTTCCCTTTCCTCCCAAGTTTTAAGAGTGATCAACAACCTTTATAACTAATTTGTGTGTTTTGTTTAAGAAATCTATCCTACCTTGTCTAACATCCAAAAGATCATCCCTATGTTTCCTACTAAAAAGTCCGAGATTTGCCATTAAAGAGAAGAAACTGAAGGAGCGGTGGGTTTATGTTAACTGGGACACACAGGCACAAGTACACTACATGCATGTAAACACACACACACACACACACACACACACGCACGCACACACGCACACACACACACACGCGCGCGCGCGCATGCACCCTCCCCCAAGGGGAGGAGGATAACCATGCAGCCTGAAGAACGCATTGTGCATGCAGAAACTGGCCAGTGTTCTACTTTATATATTCTTAACAATGATGACAACTCTTTTTCTTTTTTTAAGGCTAAGTCTTCTAATTGTTCCTCAAGATTTTGCTAATCAGTGCCTTCCCAGGCTCTCCTCCGCAAAGCTCTGTAAGACCCTCCCCAGACCAGTGAAAGATGGGAAATGTGTACTTTGAAGAGCATGGATCTGGGGGTCTCTGAAAAGGGACTAGGGTGCTCTGATGGCAAAGGAGATGAGTGCAGCTAACAGAAAGCCAGCGGTCCAGACCAGCTTCTCTGCAGAGAGATGAAACAGCTGCTCCCACAATCTGACGGCCCTGGAAACCCAAAGGAGCAGTTCTGCTGTGTCCCACAGGCCCACTACGAGTCGGGATCGACTCAACCTCAGCGAGTCTGGCTTGTGGTCTGGACAGGGGGTACCAGGCACATTTGAATGTGTGTAGGGGATGGTTGTTGTAGACAATTCCCTTCAAGTTGAGCACAACTCATAGCGACCCTGTGGAAAAAAAGGCCTGAAGCTCTTCTACAACTATCAACATTTATCAAAGTTCATAGTTTCTGGAGGCATGTTATTTAGGAAGTGGGTGCCGCTCCTGCTTCCAAACCTGTCATAGTATGTTATTGTTGTTTATGTGCCATTTAGTTACCTGTGATGTACAGTGACTTATGTACAGCAGCTTTGAACCCTTCCCTGTCCTGAGCCTGTCTAATTCCGACACACCAACCCCCATCGTCCCAGTTACTGTATCAATCCATCTCATCTGGGGTCTCCCTCTCCTGCGCTGTCTGCCCACCCTCCCGAGCATAATGTCCTTCTCCAAGGACTGATCTCTCCTGGCCTCATGCCTAAAATAAGTGAGGCGGAGCTTCAAAATCCTAACTTTCCAAGGAGAGACTTGGTTTCACCCTTTCCAAGACAGACCTGTTTTCTTGGCAGTCCACTGTATGTTCAAGACTCTTCTCCAGCATCACAACTCAAAGGGATCTATTCTTCTTCTGTCATCCTTAGTCACTGTACAACCCCCTGAAGCATAACAAGTAACTGAGAAAATCATGGCCTGTATTAGGTACACCTTTGTATTTAGACTGACATTGTTGTTCTTCAGCACTCTGGAGAGGTCCATGACAGATTTTCTCAATGCAATCTGTCTTGATTTCCTGACTGTTGGTGATATGGTGATAAGAGTGTTGATTGTGGAGCCGAGCAAGCTGTAATTGCTAACAACCTCAATCTCTTCTCCATTGATCATGGTGCTGCCAATTGTCCCAGTGGTGAGAATCTTTGTCTTCTTGATGTTGAGTTTCAACCCATATTGAAGACTACAGTCTTTGACCTTTTGCAGCAAGTGCTTCAGGTCTTCTTCAGTTTCAGCAAGCAAGGTTGTATCATCCGCATATCATAGTTGGTTAATGAGTCTTCCTCCAATCTTGATGCCACACTCCTCCTCATAAAGCCCTGCTTCCAGAATGATCTGTTCTGCATATAGACTGAAGAGGTACGGGGCCAGGATGCAGCCCTGACACTCTCATTTCCTGATTTTGAACCATGTAGTATTTCCTTGCTCTGTTCTGAGGACATGCTTCTTGGTTCAAGTATAGATTTCATATAAGCACAATCAGGTGTTCTGAAATTCCCATTTTCCTCAAGGTTAGTCACAATTAATTGTGACCCACACAGTCAAACACTTTTGCATTTCAATGAAACACAGATAGGTATTCTTCTGGTACTCTATGCTATCTGACATTGGCAGTAATGTCCCTAGTGCCACGACCTCGTCTGTACTGTACCAAAATGCAGAGGTGGGCATTTATACACTAAATTCTGAGATCGTTAGTTTTCTCTCCCAACTTTGCTTGCTCCTAAAATGCTGGAAGCGTCCAGAGAAAACTGGAAAACGCTTCTAGGGGATGAGAAGAACTGAAGATGGCCCTGAGATGCCCAGCCTGACTATACTGAGAAATCGCCATCACCAAGTCTAAGTGCCAGGCTCCCAAGTGCCCAGCTTCTTCTCGTCGCCTTCTGGAACTCTGTCCTTCCACACCACATCCAGAAAACAGATGCGCTGTCTGGGGGCCAGAGGCAAGACCAGGGGCCAAGCTTCTCAGGTGCTGACCCACCTCACTGACGGGGGGCTCGCTCATCAACACTTTCTCACACCTGCTACCCACCCATCCGGCACATAAAACCTTATTCTGAAAACTGAACAAACAGGTATCAGACACCTGACGAAGAGGAAAGATAAAAAGCAAACTAAGGAGAAAAAGAACAATTTGAAGGAAATGTAGATGATTAAGAAGGAAAAGTTTAAGTAAAAAAAGGAAACATTTCATTAATGTTCCCAGAAAGAGAGGCTATGATGCCTGTGAAACACTGCCATCAAGCCTGACCCACCTCACAGCATCCCCACAGGGGAGGGGAGAACCATGCCTTCGGGTTTCCAAGGCTCTGAGGATTTAGGGAAATGAGACTTGCAGATTTTCTTCCTCTAAGTGGCTAGTGGATTTGAACTACCAACTTTTTTTGTTAGTAGCTGAGCACCTAACCTCTGTTCCACCAGGGCTTCTAAAATAGGGTAAAAAAGGAGCCTTCAGATAACAATTAACAAAACAAAAATTTTATTGACTACAAGAAAAGCTTCGCCACTGGACATGATAGATGGAGGGAAAAGGTGAAATTATCAACGATTTCACCCTACTTGGATCCGTAGTCAACATCTTTGGTACCTGCAGTCAGATCAGTAGATGTGTAGGACTGAACAAGCCTGCTGTCAGAGACCTCTCCAAAGTGCTGAGGAGCAATGATGTCAATTTAAAGACCAACATTCACCTGATCCAAGTGATAGACTTTTCCATCACTTGCTCTGCATCAGAGAGATGGACGATGAATAAAGGTGATAGAAGAATGGCTGTCTTTGAGTTGTGGTACTGGAGAAGAGTACTGAAATCCCATGGACTGCCAAAAGAACAGACATGCAGATAAAATGCAGCCAGCATGCTCACGGGAGGAAAGGATGACAAAGCTTTGCCTCACATCCTTTGGGCATGTTGCTAAGAGAGCCTATTCCTTGGAAAAGAATGTCATGCCTGGAAGGGTGTGAGGTCAGCAGAGAAGAGGACGACCCTCCCAGAGCCAGACTGACATAGTAACTGCAGCAATGGCACTCTTTCAGGGGTGGGAGCCTGTGCTCCTTGAGGTTCCTGCCTCTGAACACTCCAGCCACCTGGGAAGAAAAGTATGTCCAAGGACCCAGGGATGTCTGGGCAGCGTGTCAGAGGGAACCCAAGGAAGCCTTCAGGACTGCACAAGGATGTGAAGTGGGGGCCAAGGACCTAACCTTAGGGCTCCTCCTCCCCTGGGGGTTAGATAAGTGGTCGAAACCCACTAGCCAGTTCACAAAGATGAGCCCGTTGGTTTCCCCGAAAGTTAGTCTGGGACACCGATGTGGAGTTCTCTCTGTCCTGCCCCCAGGGCGTCAGGAGTCAGAATGCACTTGGAGGTGGGAGAGGATGGTTTAGACAGAAGCAGTCCACATAGG